AGCTTTATATACATATATATAATCACCATATAATTAGAAAGAAAAACAAAAGAGAAAAATTACTTTAACTTAAATAATAGAGTACAATCCATAAATGATATTATGCTACATTTTATTAAAATTGAAAGTTTTTCTTAAGTTTGATAAGTTACCTTTATGTGCATATATCAAATTTGAAGCCGAAAAAATTTCTGCATAAAATTTAAAATAAAAAAACAACATTTTCAATATAGTCTTATTTCATATTTTCTCCCACCTGAACAAATGCGTCAAATACAAACACATTTATTAGTTCATAAAAAATGAAGTAAAATAGACATAATACACTATTAAAATTCCTCTCCCTTCATTCCTCGATCCGCTTGTAAATTCTATGCTAATTTGGATAGAATAATTAACTACTTAATAACAATTTAAATACTAAAATCTAAATTGAATAATAATAATTCTAAATTGTGAATAAAGAAGAAGAATATATGTGCAATTTGCTTAAGAAAATAAAAAGAGAACCAACATCAATCCAAATTCGCTGGGTATGCACCACATTCTGACTTGGTAAGGATTTCCCCATCCTAATTTGGACTATATGTATATAACTCATCATTTCAAACCATAAAGACTCGTTCGCAGAAACAAAGGATCTATTATAAAAGAAATTATAAGATCTGAAATAGCACCATGAAAAGCAAAAAAAGTTATCATGTTAAGAGGTTGAATAAAGATAAGACAATAAGAAAATTATGGTGTGAATAGGTTTTTAAAAAGATGGAGTAAACTGTTAAGCAGGGCCGGCTCTATGCTTTGGGAAATAAGGCTTTTGCCTTAAGCCCCCAAATTTCGGGGGCTTCAAATTTTTATCAAAAATAAATTATGTGTTAAAATTTTTATAGAAAAAATTGATTATTTATGATAAAAAGTATAATTTTTTTAAAAATATATTATTTTACCCACTTTTAAGTTTTAACATCTTTTGTACTTTGTTAAAATAAGAATTAATAGTGAAAAGTGTTGAACAAAGTGAATTACAAATTCTTTTTTAGTTCATTTTAAATTTTATTTTCAAGCATTACTACAATCATATTAAAATGAGGTATACCAAGTCATCAACTTCTTGCGTCAAATTCTATGGTTCTAAATCTTATCTCTATTTAATATTTATCAACTTATTACTTGTATAATTACGTTAACAATTCATATAATAATTGTCTCACTAAAAGGATGTTTTTCAATATTGAGTTGATAAAATCTTACCTAAAACTAATAACTAAAAAAACAATATTAAAATACTAATAATTTTCATCTAAATAGTGTAAGAAAAATAAATTTTGAATAAATATGTTTATGAAGTTTGATTATATGTTAGGCCTCAAATTGAAATTTCGGAATAGGCCCCCAATCATGTTGAGCCGCCCTGCTGTTAAGGGTAGTTTTTTTCCTGAAAACGTGGGTTGTATAATTTATAGATAAGATTAGTTATCCATCTTTTAAAATTTGAATTTTAAATTAATTATTTAGGCATTTAAAGAATATATATTTTCATATATAAAAAAGGAGAACGGAGGAGTTAAGTTTATGTATATTTCTTAGTTAGTTCTTGAATAAGGGGATAGGAACGTGCATAAATTAGTTTACTTTTTTTAAAAACTTATATTTTTGTGTTTCTTTTGTTTAATTTTTAAAAGATTTTAAAAATACAGAAAAGTAGTAATTATTATTTTTAATAATTGTGTATTATTCAAAAAATAATTCTAATAATTTAACTTATAATTTATTATTTTTTTGAAATTGTCTTATTTTTAAAATTATTTTAGAATGTATCAAGAAAATCTTACATTTTTTAATTTCTTTTTATTTTATTTTTTAAAGATTAAAAAATAATATGAAAGATAGTAATTATTGTTTGTAATAACTGTCTAACCGTGTATTATTCAATAAATAGTTCTAATAATTTATCTTATATATATTTTTTGACATGGTCTTATTTTTAAAGCTGTGAAAATTGCTTTATGAATTTTTCATTATTTTTGTAGTGTTTGCAATTTTTTTTTGTATTTTTAGATTTTAAAATAATTTTAATAATATTCAATTATTGTTCTTAAATTTGTTATTTATTATTTAAAATAATTACAGAAAATAAAATAGTAATTTAATATTTAATCCTATTATTTAATAATTTTAAAAAATCTATTTTTCTGGTGATGACATGTGGCGTTTTTCCTCTCCTATTATATATAGATAGATGATAAGATGTTATAATTTTCATTTTCCTTTACATTATTAATGCTCGTTACTACGTAATCTAGTATGGAAGATAATATAGTGTTTTAGTTTAATGACTGATAGGTTTTAAGTATTATTTTATAAATTCCGTGATATTAAATTTCCACGCGAGGCGCAGGTAATTTTACTAGTAAAAATATAATAAAATGGCTAATCAATTAAATATAAATCGTAATTATATATTATTATTATTACGGAAAAAGGTCATATTTGTCCTTGTACTCTTAGAAAATGGTCATATATACCATTCGTCATACTTTTTTGATATATTTGTCCTTACCATCCAACTTTGGACACATGTTGCCCTTGTACAGTTAACTTATCATGTCACCATTTTATTAGTCAATGTGGCGGTGCCTACATGACTCCATGTGCATATATTTTTATTTTAAATTAAAAAATTACTTTTCTATTTAGTATTATATCTGACCCATTTAGTAAACTCCAACCCAACTAATGTGAAAACCCATCAGCCCTAATTTCATTACCCATTAGCCCTAATTCTATACCCATCATCTTGCATCATATTTGATGAACGCTTCATACATAGAGAAAAGCATTTATGTCTTGATTGAGAGAAGATCCAAATTCAAAACAATTATACAAAAAAAATAAAAAAAAATAGAACAAAGAAGGTATGAAATCATCTGTTTATTTGGTAAACATGATCATACAATAAATGTAGTCCTAATTACCTTGTACTATAATTTTCCCTTCCTATAATTGAAACTTAAAAGAAAATTAAAATGCTTAAAACTTACTGGTTGCCCATTAAGTTATCTAATCGTGTAAAAAAAATCTACTATGTCAGTGAATATTAGTTAAACTCGTAAAATAGAACAGTAGGACTTGCTTAGTAGTTAGTTTGAAGATGGGTTATGTATATATTAAATTCTACATAGTAAAACTTTTGAAATACTATCACTATAAAAAAAATATTGGTTTTAGCGAAATCTGCACCAAGTGCTAATGGTCTGAGCAAGAGGTCAATGCCTTTGGAGGAGAAGCAAAAGCTGGAGAAAGAACTTGTTAATTTACCTAGACAAAAGGCTCAAATATGTCATCGAACTTTGAAAAATGGCTCAGCTTATCTGTTAAAAGTTTGGCTGATCTATGTCATTTCCGTTTGAGAAAAAACTCATTCATGCCATCATTGATCTCATATTGCAGGGTTCCGCATTCACTATAAAACCTATGCTCGTCCATTCATTTTAAGTTTGATCCTTTCCTTAGACTCGTTGCCTTGTTCGACTGAACTCGTTAATTTTGCATTGGTCGTAATTTGATTCGAGAACCTTTTCGCATAAATTCCCTTCATCAAGTCATCGTCAGAATTCAACTTAAACTACAAAGAAACATAATTATACGTTGACTGAATTCACTGTCAAAAATTGAGTATCATCAAAAGAAAGAACAAAGAGAAAACTCAGCAGATACAAATTTGATTCAAAATGAAGAAACTCCACAAGAACCCTAAAAAGAAAAGGAACATAAAAGAAAATTCAAAAGATGAAAGAGTGAAGGCGCGAAAGAGGAGCAACACTAACGTTAGCACCAAAAATCATAGCATCACAACTGTATCAATAAAAGAATTGCGTCAAAAAAGAAACTCAACAAAAAAAAATCTCAATTATTTTAAAAAGACGTAACAATTACATTGAACAAAAATTTGATCAACTCTCAACAAAATCACGTGGTTAATTCAAGAAATAATTCAAAAGAAGAAAAAAAGTTATTAAAAATGACGAATACAACAAATATATTTAAAATCTTATTAAAAATATGTTTATATCACCTAAATTTAGTTAGACAAAAAGAAATGTCCACATAAACAATCTCTTGCATCAAAATAAGCCCTATATTATCAACCAAAAAAATAAATAAAGAGAGATATATAAGAGCAGGATATAACCAGCAGCAAAAATTTTGTGCAAATTCAGCTTTCGATCAATTTTTTGTTGAATTTGTGCAAACCAAAATGAAAGCTGAAGCTTCTCATCGACGGCCAAAAGGGTGGGAACTGAGAAAGGGTACTGAAATTCCAAGCAAAGATTCAATGGGGAGTTTGCTAGAAGAACTGATCATAGCAATTCTTGTAAGGGTTCTAGTTAAATACCTCTTACAGTTCAAATATGTTTCCAAATATTGGTTTAATTTGATTTCCAGCCCTGAATTTGTGAAAACCCATCTTAGTTTTTCTGCTAAGGATTATATATACCCGCCATATATCTTTGTTGCAATTGGATACACAATATACTAATTAATATTAAATATTGTTCTGTTAGCTCTTTATTTCATAACTCTGTTAATGAGGCACTTGATTTGGATTGTCCCATGAACAATCCACCTCAACGTCTCTATATTTCGGGTTCTGTTAATGGGTTGGTTTGTCTTTCCGATGGGTTGATGATATGGAATCCATCTATTAGAAAGTTCAACAAAGTGTTTGACTAAGTGCCTACACAGATACATGAGTGTTGGTCCATTTGTGGTTTTGGATATGATGAGGTTCATGACGATTATAAGGTAGTGGGTATTTTTTGTAACATTTTCAAGGCCGCAATATATAGTTTAAACAGTGATTCTTTGAAAACACTTGAAGATTTTAAACCTGGGGTGAGTTACTGTGGTTCGGCTAAGTTTGTGAATCGTAAAGTTCATTGGATTACTAAGCATAGACGCTTTTGGGGCATCACGTCTATTGATTTGGTTGATGAGAAATGGGGAAGGTGGAGCTGCCCAGGGACATCAAAGGAGGAGGTTTGAAGCTTGGATTGTTGGGAAGTGATCTTTCGGTCCTCTGTCATTCTGATGTGTGGGTAATGAAGGAATATGGAGTTAAAGCATCTTGGACAAAACTGTATACCATCACGTATCCTGAGAACTATAATCTTTCTCTGCCCCTTTTCACGTATAATAAAGGTGAAATTTTGCTCGCGTTTAAATCAACTTTCGCGATATACGATCCAAAGAATGACTCTATCACATATCCAGAGGTTACTAGTATTTACGAGTATATGGATGCGGAACTCTTCATCGAAAGCCTAGTTTGTCCGGATTTACCAAACGAAGATTGGAAGATGTTAGAACTCAGGTGAATGCCTGTTGTAATAGTTAACAGCTTGTAAGTATTCTTTCGCCACGTGTTTCAAAATTCTGCTTATTTTGTCAAATATTGATCGTTTTTTATTGACACTTATTAAGGAGATAGATGAATTACGGAGGAGATCATTCAATAACAGTTAATTAGCTTCTAATATTATAAAATTTGGATGATTTTCCTTGCTGCTAATGATAGCTTCCTGTTAGTTTTCTATAGTTAATCAAAAAGCGTAATCTTCTTTCACTTTAGTGATACCGTTGACTTGCGAAAAGTGATTTGAAGGAGAGAACAGTTTTAGGAAGTGTTTGACTTCTACTCAACTGGTTATCCCCCAAGGTGTTAAACACTTTGGGGCTAAGAAGCATTGCAGAAGATGGAACAATTCTATCCTAGCAGTAAGACTTAAACATAAAACCCGCAACCCGCCCTGCCACGCATCATTTTAATAAAATTACCTCAACCTGCCCCGCAGCGCACAACTTTAAACCTGTCCGCATAGGCTTAAACCCACCCCATTGACATCCCTAGAAGGTAGATGTTACCATCATTTTAAAGTTAACAAAAACTGTCCTACTTTAGTCAGAAATACTCATTTTTCAAAAGTTTGAATCATTTCGGGTTGAGCATAGGCCTTAGTTGTGCGGACTCTTCACTTTGATGTTGCACCCGTGTCAAATATACACTACTTTTGGTGAATCCGACACACACTCATTGACATTTTTGAAGAGTCCAAGCAACTTAGGAAGATCAATTTCTTTTTCTTTCTCAACCTATATGCTAGAAATTTAAATTTTTCATTTTCTGTGACCTTGGTTGCTTCCATTTACTCAACTGCCTATAAAACATTGTTCACTTCTATATGTCGGCAGCAACGTTATCTCTTCCCTTTCAATTTTAAATTCTAATATTTTTATTTTAAGGGGTCAGGATACCTTATTCTTTACGTGATCTTTCTCTCAATTTGATGTAAACCAAAAGCACACAACTCGCAAGTAAACTGTAGATTTAGATGGAAATTTTTCTTGGTTATGTCTCCATAAGAAATGAACATTTTACCTGGAAAATAGGTAGATGCGGGCTTACTTTGAAACCAACCTGTAGGGGCTTAAACTGGTATTTAGCTCTTAAATTTTGCCTCGTCAATAAGAACAACTTATACATGTTGTAAGGCCCACAATCGAATTCATATTCTACACCAAACTAGTACCCTTTGTTTCCCATTCAACTACATTTTCTTTGGTAGGCTCAAAGAATTCTTCTGTATCATTTTATCTGTATTGGGTGCCTCTGAAATGATCAATAGGTTAAGTTGCCTATTTTTACAACGGTAATTGAGGCCAAATATTTCATCACATCTGAATCTGAAACATAACATTGGCTCTCTTTTTCGTGCAAATTTTTGAATCATTCAACTTTTTGAATTATCCCTCGGATTTTGCTGCTGAAGTTATGTTGAAGCTAGTCGACTTTGTTGTCGTCTGCGATTGAAGCTTTTTCTTTCAATAGTTGGCCAAATGACTACAGGATCATTGGTCTACTCTACCTCAATTCACCATTTCGAACCTTATACAAATGGTTTTTCCGTACTAGGAAGTAAGATTATATCGTTGCAGGTTGTAAAAACTCTATGATGCTACTTAATTTTGTTTAAGGAAGCAAGAAACGCTCATAAATTGAACAACAGAAAATTAAACTTGTTAGTTGGAACATAATCATTCAAGTTTATGCTCTTGTTTTTTGTTTTCGTTTTTAAGATTCTGTTTGGTGTACACAATTAGATGTTTGATAACTTGCTCTACAATATCTACGTTCATGTTGTACGTCTCAAGTAAATTACTTGTTATATTTTCCGTTCAAAACTAAATGAATCTCATAGATGGACAATATATAACAAAAAGGTACAATTTTAATTCAATAATAAACTTAAATTAAGACATCAAATAAACATGAAAAAGAACTAGAAATCTCGTCAAGGATATTCCTCCATTAATATAAAAGAGATTGCAAGAATATTTCTTTTCGATCAACAATCCACAAGAATGGCAGAGGAAGCAATGCCGTTTTGACAAAAAAATTAAGGAAGAGACACCCTTATTAAAGTGTTTGGTACAAGGAAAACATTTTCTGGAAAATGATTTATGATGTTTGGTTAACTTAAATATTAGTTTAGAAAATGTTTTCAAATCAACCTATTTTCTTCAAATTTTAGAAAAAAAAAGACTTACCTACAACAAGTAAGAAAAACATTATTCAAAATTTTTTTCAACTTCACACCGCAACTTTCCATCCTAACTCAAGACTAAGGTGACAATTTCCAATATTAATTCGAGATCCAACTTTGATTCTCGATTCAGAACCCAACTCTCGACCTCAATTTGAGACCCAACTCTCAGGTCTCAGGTGGGGTCAGAGTTAGATGATCCTGATTTGAGTATCAGATTCCAAGTCAGGATTCGAGGTTAGATACTAGGTTAGGTGTCGGGGTTGAGTCTCACGTAAGGTGTCGGGTACCGAGTCAATATCGGGTGGGGTTCTGAGTTAGGTTTCGGAGTCGAATTCTAGTTTGGAAGTTAGGTATCAGGTTCAGATTCAGAAGTTGAATCCCAAGTCGGGAGTCTGGTTCCTACACCGGATTTGTCACCACTGCCTGAAATTCAAAAAATTCATGAACCAAAGATCTCAAACTGCTATTAAAATGTGTAACATCTAATTACCACATAACCATCAGGAGTCCAAAAAATCAAATCCCATTTGTTGTAATGCTTCCCTTTTGATCCAATGCGTCATTGACCGAGAAGAAGACAACGTTGGAAAGGAGGGTTTATGGTTTGTTTATAGGTGGATTTGGGGGGGGATTAATTAATAATGGGTGGGTTTATAAATTATATTAATTAATTAATTAAATTATAATCAATAGTTGAGCATCACATACTTTTTTTAAAATAGTTTAAATTTAAAACCGTTAAATAAGTGGTCAATTTTGGACCCAAAGGTGGACTGGTAAGGGTATTTTGGAGCCAATAGGTGAATGGAGGATAGTTTTATACCATTTTCAATACTTCGAGGGTATTTTAGGCTCTTTTCCATTTCAAAAGTAAAAAAAAAATAACTTTGAGACAAAAACTGATGAACTCTCAAAGAAATCAAGGGGTGACAATCATAAATAAGTGTAAGAAAGAATGGAAAAGGAGAGGAAAACTTACCATATGTGATGAATGGAACAAAATTATATATGCTTTGTTCGTCTTCCTCTCTGTATTTTTATAACAACAAATAACGTATGCAATTAAGTGACTGTAACTTGATAATAAATGAAAAATAAAATGGTGACATGAGAAAATAACACTTTCAAAGATCACACAAGGGCTTCGTTTGCTTAAATAAATAGAGATATACTTTAGTAGTGTCTGAAATTACTGTGATGAAGTTCCTTTTCTTAATATTTTTTATGTTTAATTCTGATAATCTAATTTATTTAACATTAACACTTTCCCTTTCATTCTCTTCTTCCATTGCCTCGACCCATTCTTCTTCATGCTCATTAGCTATTTTCATTGTGAAGATTCTATACTTTAAATGGATACATTACTTGACCTCAAATTGTACAGTTTACTGAATTTTTCTTCACTTATATAAATCTGTGAATTAATTATGGTCGAAAAATCAATAATCATTAACTTAAAGGTTTTTTTTTTCTTTTTCAGGAAAAAACCTTATTGCATTACTTTAAAATATGTTTGAGATGTCCTTAAGACAACATTGCATCAGTTACAACACAACTTGGGAAGGCAGAATCCCAAGAAATCATATTTATACAAGAAATAGAAATTTTAGCTAGATTGTGAGCTAACACATTCCATGTTCGAGGAATATATATAATCTTGATTTCTAAGCCACAAACCATACAAACATCACAATTTTGATGCAATTCCTTAAAAATATTAACACTAATAGGAAGGACATTAAGAATGCATTTTCTTAGGAAATGTTTGTATTTGTTTTTTATATTTATTTTAAGTGATCATAAAAACGTCCAAAAAGATTTTGGGAAAGACTGACCACTGGCTTGAGGTCTTTCAGTTCTAGGGTCAGTAGTATTAGCTAGGCTTTTTGCTAGATGATAACTAGATCTTACCTCGTACTTTTCTGAATTTGTATAATGTCAGATAACTTTATCAGAATTCCCGATATTAGATATTGGGATAGACAAAATAGAGTTGATATCATTATGGCAAAAAATGGTGATGAAGATCTTTAGTATTCCATATATGATGGTGTTGATTTTTAAGGTCGCTTACCCTCAACCGTGGATTTATTCATTAAGTGGTAGTTAGTCAATTAGGCTTTAACTAGTTACTCCCTCCACTTTTGAATTGACACACCTATTAAGAAAACAATGATCAACATAATGGGTTTACCATTTTACCCAAATTAATTATGAAGTGGATGAATAAAAATGTTATTAATAATGTTCTACCTTTTTCAAAGTAATGAATTGAGGGTATAATAGGTAAAAAAAAATGTATTTTCTTAATTTGTCAAAATGGATAAGTAATTAGGAACAAAGTGAATATATCAAATCACGACTCTCGATAAGTCAAATTTTGAAAATCGCATAATGGATATTATTTTTAGTTTTCTCGTCTTTGATCTCAAAATAATCATTTTATTTTTAATTAAACTTTGTGCAGGTTTTTAAAAAAACCACCATATTTTGGATTGATTATTTGACTATAACTTCTGCTAATCATGATATTTATTCTGTCTTTTCCATCCCGCGCTCGCACCGCGTCAGAAAATCTTTGTTTATGATCTCTCTTCGGAACGCATTTTAAAGGCTAAAACTTTCTCTCGATATCTTTTTTTAATCTAAATAACTAATCTCATATTTATAAGCAGGGGGTCTGCGTTCACTATAACGCATACGCCCGTCCATTCCTTTCAAGTTTGATCCTTCTCTTAGACTCGTTACCTTGTTCGACTGAACTCGTTGGTTCCGCGTTGATCGTAATCCGGTTTGAGAACTTTCTCTCATATATTCCCTTCATCACCAACAATCAACTTAAACTAGATAAAATTGAGCATCAATGAAAGAAAGAATAAAGAGAAACTCAACCGAAAAAAATTTGATTCAACATTAAAGAAACTCCACAAGATCTCTAAAAAGTTAAAAGAACATAAGTGAAGGCGCGAAAGAGGAAAAACACCATAACGCCAAAGATCATAATAATCATATCACAACAATATCAATTAAAAAGCTACATCAAACAAGAAACTTCACTGTAAAACTCTAAAACAAAATTAAAAAAAAAAAAAAACATTACAATTGACATTGAGCAAAAATTTGATTAACTTGTAACTAAATAAAGTGGTTAAGTTCAAGAAAAAACTCAAAATGAGAGAAAAAAAACGTGTTTAAAATGACGAATGCGATATGTATAATTCAAACTGATTAAAAAAACAAAATAGACTACCTAAATTTAGACAAAAGAGAAATGTCGATATAAACGATCTGGTGAGGTGTAGAATGATTAAAAAACCCTATATTACCAACCAAAAAGAAGAGATATACAACAGTACTAAATAAATATATAATGAGGGACCCCGCCCCACCCGGCCTAGGTGACGTGCCCCGAGTCCCCCCCACCCTGCCTCCCGCCCTATCCCACAGACTCAAGGCGTCGTGCCCGAACCCAGCCGCGCTTCGCCCCGCCCCCCAGCCTCAAGGCGCTGTGACCCGAGGCCGCCCCACCTCGCCCATCGGCCTCAAGGCGCCTTTCCCTGAGGTCGCCCCACCTCGCCCCTCGGCCTCAAGGCGCCTTTCCCTGAGGTCGCACCCGCACCACCCCCGGCCTCGAGGCCCCGAGACCGCCCCCGACCTGCCCCTGGCCTCGAAGCGCCGTGCCTCAAGGCTCTTCCTGACCCGCCTCCTGGTCTCGAGGCGTCGTGCACCGAGGTCGCCCCCGGCCTTTTCCCCCAACCCCGAGGCGTCGTGCCTCGATGCCACTCACACCCATCCCCCGATTTCGAAGCACCCGGCCCCGAGGCCGCTTTCACCCCGCCCCCCAGCCTCGAGGCGCAGTGCCCCGAGGCCGCCCCCGCCCTTATACCCTAACCTCGAGGACCCGTGCACCGAGGCCTCCCATGCATCACCCCTCGACCACGAGGCGTTGTGCCCTGAGGTCGCCCCCGTCTTCACCCACCAACCTTGAGGCGTCGTTCCCCGAGGTTGCCCTCACCCTTATCCCCCAACTTCGAGGCCCCTTGCCCCGAGGCCGCCACCACCCCGACCAAGTCTTGAGGCGTCGTGCCCCGAGACCACCCCCGCCCCGCTCTCATCCTCAAGGCGACATGCGCCAAGGCCGCCCCTGCTCTGTCCCCGGCCTCGAGGCACCATTCCCCGAGGCCACTCCGCCCTGCCCCGCGACCTCGAAGCATCGTGCCTCGAGGCCGACCCCGCCCCGCACCCCGGCCTCAAGGAGTCGTTCCCCGAGGCCACCCTCACCCTTCCCCGCCTCGAGGCTTCGATGTGTCGTTCCCTTAGGCCACATCATCTCCGCGCATTGGCCTCGAGGCGTCGTACCCCGAGGCCTCTGTGGCCATTCCCCTCAGCTTCAAGGCACCGTGCACCGACGCCACCCCCGGCCTCTAGGATTCGTGCCACGAGGCCAGCCCCACCCTACCTCCCGACCTCGAGGTGGTGTACCCCTAGGCCACCCCCCTACCACGGGGTGTCATGCCATGAGGCCGCCCCCCGGCCTCGAGGCATCGTTCCACGAGACTACCCCTAACCTCGAGGTGCAGTGACCCATGGCCACCCCCGCTCCCTCTGGCCTCGAGGCGTCATTCCCTGAGGCCGCCCATTCCCCGCCCATACGGTGAGACGTTGTGCCTTGAAGCCGCTCCCTCCCCGCCCCCGGCCTCGAGATGTCGTGCTGTGAGGCTGCCCCTGCCTGGCCCCTAGGCCTCGAGGCAAGACGTCTCGAGTCCACCCCTATCTTGCCCCTTAGCCTCGAGGCGCCGTACCCCGAAGTCATCCCCCACCCCGCCCCCAGGCCTCGAGGCGTCGTTCCCTGATATTGCCACGCCACGCCCCCGGCCTTGGGGGGTCGTACCCCGTGACCCCCCGGCCATGCTTCCTCCTCCGACCTCGGGGTGTCGTGCCCCGAGGCCGCTCCCACCCCGGCCTCAAGGCGTTGTGCTTCGAGGTTGTCTCCGACCTCGAGGCGCCGTGCTCTGAGGCCCTTTTCCCCCCGGCCTCGAGGCGTCGTGCCCCAAGGCCGCTCCCGCCCTCCCCCGACCTGGAGGCGCCTTGCCCCGATGTCTTCCCCACCACCCCCTCCGTTCTCGAGGTGCCGTACCCCGAGGCCTCCCCTGCCCCGCCCCTCGACCTCGAGGTGTCATCCCCCGAGGCGGCCTCAACCCCTTTCATCGGCCTCGAGGCGTCGTACCCCGAGGCCTCCCCGACCCTGCCCCGAGGCATCAAGGCGCCGTACCCTGAGACCACCCCCGGCCTCGAGGCACCGTCCCCTGAGGCTGGCCCCGCCCAGCCCCCAGCCTCGAGGCGCATTGTCTCTAGGCCACCCTTGCCCCCCCGGCCATAGGGCACCGTGCCCGGATACCACCCCCACCGGTGGCCACCCCGTCGCCACGCCCTAAGTCCCCCCTGCCCCGCCACCCAACCTTAAGGCACCGCGCCCCGCCCCCTGACCTTGAGCCCCCCCTTCACCTTAAGGCCCCCTACCCTTCCCCCTACATCAATTCCCCTTTGCCTCACCAAAATAAAACGTATGCAAATTGTTTATCAAATGTATTCAGTATTCTACTAATAATATATTCATAATAAACTAATCAATTTTTTATCTAATATTCGAATCCTATTAAAAATAATAACATACATGCATTCAAAAAATCAAACAAGAGTTTTTGTATCTCTTTTGGTGTTTCCTCCTGTTTCTCCTAAACTTTTTTTCCATTACTAATGGAAGGAAATTTGTTACCCTCTTCGAAGTATTAGTTTTTTTCATTGCCAAGCTTCACCTGAAACCCATGTAGTTTTTCATTTAATTAAGGGAAAATTACACGTATAAACAAACTAGTACTTAACATAACTATAGTTTGCCTTACTTACAATTCACGACTTACTTTAGCTATAATGACACGGCTCAACCTTTTAGTTTTGTATAATTCACACATTTGTATAATTCAAAATTTGTATAACTTTTGTATAATTCAAAATTTGTATAATTGCTTAGACTTCTGATGTTTGTAATTTTATTAATTCGTTATTTTGAGTTTATACAAAAATAACTGAATTATATAAATGTACCCAAAAATTATACAAGCATGTGAATTATACAAATCCGCGAATTATACAAACGAGACAGCTTAAACTATAGCTACAGCCCGTAAATATGCAAACTATAAGCTATGGAGCATAATTAAATTTATTGTAATTGTTATTTGTGATTCGTTCCTCTTTAATTAAGTTAATCTAAGTATTCAAAGTTAGAATTAATCAAAATAAGAATAACTAAATACAATCCACTAATCCAAAGAGAGAGAGAATGAGTTTAGGCCTTTCAGGCCTAAACTGTTGCTGCCCAGGAATATTGGGCCAATTTTATTTCCCTTTTCAGCTTCTTTTGAAAAACTTCTTCTGGTTTGAGCCTCTTTTCAGTTGTATACAACACAGTTTCCACCTGTATATTAATAGTTTTCAATTCTTGACAAGGCTGACTCGAACAAAGAATGTTGGATTTCAACCCAACGAAATGCAAATGGGAAGTCCTGATGAACTCATATGAGAGACGAAGAGAGTTCACATGCAAAGTAAACAAAGGAAAGGGATTAGCATCTATTTTCCTCTTCTTCAGTGGATAAATTGATATAAAGAAATTTAGAATACTTTCATAGCTAAACCAAACATAATTTTTTGTTCAACTTCCAAATAAAATGAGACAATGAGATGAGCTTAAGTCAAAATATGCTATATCAACTAATAAATATTAGCCTAACAATGCTTGTATAACAAGTTGTATATCATCAAAACAAGCCAAGTCAATTTCCCAAATTAGATGCAAAAGGCAGCATTAAGAGTAAAGAAATCAATAGCATGAATGAATGTAAAGACCATTTGAAGCCAAAAAAAAATAACAGCAATGCCCAAACACTAACCACATAAGAATAAGAATGCTATTAATATGGCATATTATAGTGAATGCAAATGTATGCTAATACGTTAGCTAGACAGGAAAATGCTTTCTCATAACTCAAATTCAATTTAAGGATAGATATAAAATTTCTAGAGATGCAAAATCAGCACCCAATACACAAACATTTTAAAACAACACGATAGTGACTAATTTGAACCAAACATCAGCGGAAAACAGAGACTATAAAAAAAGATACGGGAGCAGCAAGGTTTCAATCATAGGCAGTACTAAAACAAAATTTAAACTGGATACATCTCAAATACTTAAAAAAATTGATAAAGATAACAACACAACACATTTAAATTCACAAGGATGCTAATAAATCCTAATAGTATAAACAAATTGGCTACTTAATGTACTATACGATGAGTATTACGGATGATTAGCAATATAAACGAAAGAATTCCAACAGCTTTCGGGTTCCAAGAAGCAAATAAATAATGGAATGTTATCCAAACCGAAACGAGACAGTACAAAAAGGTTGAAGCATACTGGAAATGAATCTGTTGAACATTGAACTATTAAAAACTTGCTCACTTAGAAGCAAATAATGAACAGGAAATCTGAAACATCTGAAATATAAAGCTATGAACTGGATTAAGAGCAGAACTATGACGAATTATGATCTTAAATCATGAGTTGGAACTTCAAATAAGCCCAAACAACAATCCAGCCACTCGAGAACAGAAATTAGACACATCTATTGTGTTGTGGCAGTGACTCGAAACAAAAAGGAAATAGCCAATATTTATGCTTACATTTACACCCCTTTGACAAAAGTGAGAATGAATAGTGAAGAAATCAAAGGATATTGCAGATACATCCACAACTAAAAAAACGTTAAAAACAATTGAAGCAAAGCAGATTAATTCATCTTTAAGATATGCATTGACTCAATCAATCTCCCAAACTACCATCAAAACCCGAAAGAAGTCTATTTACAATCCAACTAACAAGTAACAACTCCATTTTTTGCATCGAAATGAATCCCTGCCTCAATGAACCTAAGGAGCCAAAAACTACAACACTATAGCTATCACATACTTAACCAAAATCATGAGGATACAAATAAACTAATGCATCTTACAAGAAACCTGGATCATGCTAATGAAACAACAACAACTTGAAAGAAAGGACATGGCATTAAATGCCACTTTGAACATAAGCTAAACTCATGAGTGCAAAACCTGATGAAGATCCATCAGAAAAGAGGAACTTGAAAGAAGACTAGAGCTAGAAATGGACTAAAGTCTAGAAGGAAAATTCTACACTTATACTAATTCATCTGCCAGTAAAAGACTAGAGAAGAAAAAAGGATTAAATAAGCTTAAACATAGAAGCAAAGAATCAGCAACGCTAAAACAATAGATAGCAGCAACATACATATCACGAGAAAATCCAAATTTAACATCATCTTGAAACCCACGAAATCAAGCAGAAAATACAACACATGGCAATATTCGAAGCCCAACAAACTTTTCCAAATGATTCGAAAAGAAAGAATGAGAGAGTGTTACATAGGGCAGAAGTTACCTCTGACTGGAACAAATGATGAGCTGAAGTGAGACTCTGACAGACTCCGGTGGACAACAAACAAACGAGAAGGAATCTAGACTCAGAATGTTTAGTGTATACTTGAAGAACGATAACCCCCTTAGGCCTTAGGAGGTCTTTCTCTGTTACTTGTTTTTACTCTTTTTGTAAAATCTCTCTCTTTATGTATGAAGCGTGTTCTCCCATCTCTATCTTTCCAACCTCTAACAATGAAGAAGAAAAGAGGCTTATATAGAGGGGAATGAGGGATGAATGGAATTCAAAATTTGAATTTGAATTCCTTGGCTGCCAGCTCGAAACTTGCAACGGATAATTGATAGGAACCGTATGATTTGAACGAAAGACGGAGATGCTTCCACCTAAACGATTTGTACACGCGCTGGGCTCACTGTGTTTGCTGGATTGTTCTGAGTTTCCATTTTTTGGGAAGAAGACGAGGTTGGCTGTTCGGGTCGGTGTACGCGTATGTATGCTGATGGGTTCTGTTGTATCCGTATCTCTGGGTTTTTGCTGATTGAAAAGTGGGCTTGGTTAATTGGAAAGAGCTACTTTCACGTATATAACAAACATAAAAAATCATATTTCTATGTTATAATTATAGTTTACATAATTGCGCTCCATAGCAAATTTTATGTTTGCTATGGAGCTTTTGATTTGTATAATTTGCTACAAACATCTAATTTTATATAAATTGTTCAGTTTTGTATAAATTCATTTATACATTGTAATTTGTATAATAAGAACTATATTTGTATAATTATAAGTGTATAAGACAAAAATATATGTATTTATATTTGTATATACACTTTTCTCTCGATTTATATAAACACAAACGCATTTTATACATTTTATACCGAAATGTATAAAATGACTAATTGTATATTGAATTAGATGGCAAAAAAAAGGAGATGTTTGCTGCGAAATACAATTAAAATAAATTATAGCTATAACATTTAATTTGAATTAATAGTTTGTTATTTCATACAATTTTCTCAATTGAAAATGGAAATGGGGCTGAGATTAGAACTGATTTGAGCCAATAAATGGAGTCTGAAAGGGGTTTCTCCCCTTAAAAGAGGTGAACTGAAATGATTAGGAATTCAATTTACAAAATGGTCATATGGGTTGCAAACTTGGCCAAGTGAATTAAGAATTTTAACCAAAATTGAATTTAGTCGATGAATTCGGCTAAATATTAAATAAGACAGATTAATTTAAACGAGCTCCGATGAACCAACGACTTGGAAACAACAAAAGAAGAGGACATTTTCCTCTAAAAAAATCTTAAACTTGAAATGCTCTTTTAGCTAGCCAAGACCCCTATTTTTCAATGAAGAATTATGTGTTTTACGATGGTCCAGATCCTTCCTTAGCAGTGAAGACGACAAGGAGGGGGGATCAGGTCGAATACTTTCATAACTGAACCAAACATAAATTTTCGTTCAACTTCCAAATGAAATGGATAATTATGACACTATGATGGAATCATTGATGCAATGAACAATACTAACATACTCATTCAATTTAGAAAAATTCAAAGGGGAAAATCAAGTGCTTGACCAAAATGGACTGATTTAGAACAAAAACAGGGTATTTAAAAAGATAACTAAACCAAGATCATAAATTGTACACTAGTAGAAATAAAATCGTTTAAGAGACAAAGCTGAAATCATCGAATGTTATTATGACTATTTAATGTCAAACCATAATACATATCATAGTGAACACACTTAAAGATAAGCATGAATAGTTTCTAGATTAATCATTTTGAACAAACTAAACTCAAAATGCAAGGTATTAG